TCGGTTAGAATTTTTTTGCTTATCTCTCATCTTTCTCTTTAGCCTCATGATCAGTTCTCTTACCTCTAAGAACAAAAACAACACCTGTGAAAATGATTCCTTGTTTCTCAACATAGCATGATTTCGTGTGAATATATATGCTTGATTATAATAGGTTAACGTCTTTTACGTTTGTATTTTACAACGAATTATTTCATGTATATCATTTTATATTTGAATGTAAATAGTAAATTTAGAAAATAGTATCTTTGAACAGATTTTCTTGAACAATAATTATAGGTTTATCTACTTAATGGCATGAGAATCTTAGTTTATTCTTTGGGATAATGCTCTACATTAATTTTAGGACAATTAAGGTGATACACATATATACCACTGATAGGAAAATTAAATGTGATAATTTCTAGTGGATCGTCCAAATTTTTTAAAAAAATCACACGTGAAATGAAGTCATAACTTTTGTTTTAATATATAAGATGGATGAAAACCTTGCATTAAATAACTTTTATAGTTTTCTCTTTTCAAAATTGTTTGTTTTTGAATAACAGTAGATTTGATTTAGTTTTTATAAATGTTTAATAGAATAGCAGTGGTTTTCAAGTAATTTCTAAGACTTTGCATAAATATCATATTCAATAACATTAGATTTGAAAAAAAAATGATTAGTTGAATAACAGTGTGTTTAAAACAAAACCAAAACATTTTAAATCCACAATTCAATACACCCCTAATGTGATCATATTTTAACCACCAATTTTAACCACAAGTGAAAGGCGGTGCACAGTAGTACTTAGGGATCAAATCTTCAGAAACCAATGTTATACAAAGATTCTTCAAGAATAAAGTAAAGCTAGAAAAAGGTATTTGTTTGTAGTTTTCAGTTCTGAGAAAGTAAAGACGAATGTAAAAACTATGTAAGCTAATTGATAAAAGGCGTTAAGCATCATGTGATTCTAAGAAAACATAGACGATGAGATGCTTATTAGACTGGAGATCCATTATTGACTTTATCAAACTCAAACAAGGTTAGCTAGATTAACCTCCTCCCGAAGTGTCAACCCCTGTGTTATAGAATCCTAATGACAAACTCCTGTTGAATTTCAGATTCTAAACATGCATTCAATCAAGTTTGATAAGTTCACAAGCTCCATCACATCAACTCCCGTTGACTACAAATACTTGTTCATCTAAGTTCTTTTCAGGTATTTAATCGAACACTTTTGGTCTATTAAATAACCTTGATATCATGAACAAGGTGTAGATTCAAATTTAAGGGATGTGTATATTTAATCTAAAGTCTAAGGCGATTTGATTTTTAATGCAGTTTTAGATGATTTCAGTGAATTGCAGAATTTAAAGTTATTTTTGTTAAACCACTCTAGAATATCACCTAAAACCATGAGATTTTAGTTTTGATTAACTAAGAAACTCCATCCAAATACTCTAAAATCATATATATACTTTGAAAGTCCACAATTTAAAATATTATCAATAACAGTGAATTTCAGATTATTTTATGAAATGTCAAGTTCAATAACAGTGGATTTGTCATTTTGATATAAATCACTTGAAACTCCAAGTTGAATGCACCCCAAAAATGTTGTCAAATCTTTATTATTAAAATAATTAATTGTAATATGCATACTTAATCATACTAGTAATCTCATAATTTTTTTATATAAGGAAAGAAGAAAAAATATTAATCACACATTATTAATTAGGTTTATGATTATTTAATGAAAACTATAATATAATTTTAATGGTCCAACATGTTTTTTTAAGGATTTTGAGAGGCATTTTAGTGATATAACACCTCATATCTAAAATGTTGTAATGCTTCTCTTTTAATATATAAGGGATTGAAAACTGTACCAAATTTTCGTTAGCTAAAGTTCTCTCCAACGATTCTCCACCAAAAGTGGTGTATGATTCCATGAGTGAAGTTGTAAAACTGCTCCTAGAATCTTATTTTAGACTTTAGTGATCCTTTTTTCAGTTCAACAATCCCTTTATTCCAAAACGAACTATCTTACAAAACAATTTAACTTCAACTGAAAACCGAATAAAACAAAACTAATGTTATATATAAATTAAAAGCTGACAAAAAAATTTTAAAATAAAGCATTAAAAATAAAATCCTCAAAGTGTTGCACCACTCATGATTTCTACTTCTATACCTCCTCGAACCTACCTGGAAACAAGAGGAGTGAATAATGGGATTACTTAGTGAGGATAGGTTCTAGGAACCTACGAGCTTGTTTTAGGACAAGCAAACAATAATCACACTCATAAGCTAATACCACCTATCATGCAACAAATAACCTAGACCTCTATTATATATTCGCTTGTGACCCATTGGCTTAGCTGGCAATGTCCACATGGTATACTATAGATTTTACCCATTTTTACTCATAGTATATATGTACTTTTTAAGAACTACTATATATATATATATATATATATATATATATGTGTGTTTGAAATCTAATGTTATTTTCTGGTACAAGTAGGTTTTGAAGCAATGTTATGGAGTATTTTAGGGCTTTATAATGAAGAAATTTGTAGTTGCTGAAGAATCGTAAGTCAAATTTGATATTTACAAAGAGTGCCAATCGACAACACTCTGTTGTCATCGATCGACAACAAAGCGTGAGACTGGCCGTTTTATTGGTGACTGACTACATATTTACAAGATTACTCGTGGCCGACTTTATACCTAGTATTTAAGTGTTTTACCATTGTTTGGGTAACAAACAACCTTCATTACTTTTCATAATCTATTCCATACTTAGGGTTAATGAGGGTTATGAAGGATTAGTGAAAACTATAAAATTGCTAATGTGATAGAGTATCCATCTATTGAATTGTTATGAATTCTTGTGTTCAAAAGTAGCTAACTAGAACCCTGATATTAGGATTGCGAACAACTACGACAACTACGACTGTAGGTCCTCGCCTGAATTGATTCTCTTGAGCTAGGTTGCTAGATACATGAGACAGCTGGTCTAGGAAGTTAGTGGACCGATCAAATAAGACAATAAACTCAATTTAAGGTAGTCGTCGATCGATGCTCAGTGCCTACAATCAATCAACAACTCATTACGTGTTCATTAGCGATAGCAAGAATACTAGAGTTAGATAATTATTAGACTAACATTGCGACAGCTAGATATCTATACACTAGAGTTCGAGTTATAGAATATCACACACACACCTTTAGCTTCTCTATTTCTATAATCTTGATTATCTGAAACTCTAGATTTAGCTATTTTCTCATATTATCTTACAACCAACCAATCAACTACTTTATTGTTCACTGCTATTTAATTACTTGCCTAGCTTAATCTACATATCTATAAATCTAATGCGTGCCCACGCTCAGTGTGGATTAGATCCATAAGTACTACAACTAAACCTTTTATTTGAGAGAGAAGTTACTCATAGGGTAATTTGAGAGCATATCATCACCCCCATGGTCCTATGTGATTACCCGATCATGGCCCGTTGACTCATCTGCACTAGAAATGTGCGTTCGGGTCTTCGGGTCAGGTTTGGATCAGATTTGGGTCAGGTTCGAGTCCTAGACATTTAGATCCAACTGGGTACTTGAAAATTTTCTATTCAAGTTCGGTTTAAGGTCGTTTTGGGTCTATAACTAAAATGCATGTTAAACACATGTAGTTTTTGAGTCCATAAGGTTCGGATCAGGTTTGAGTATTTAATATCTGAAATACCCAAATTCCATCAAAACATTATTGAAATCCAATATATTTATCTTACATTTTGTAAAATTACCAAAAATAAATTATTAATAAATAAAGCTAAATAATTTTGAATTTTAAATTTAACATTTAAAGTTTCATGATACTTAAAAATGCTACAATAATAATAAATAAGATTGCTAATAAAATACATTTCAACTGAATTATAAACTAAAATATATAAAAATGAATAAAATATTTTGGATATTCATGTTTTTAGGCTAGGTACGAATTAGTTCTAATTAGGTCGGTTCTTTTCGGATTTTGGTCTATTTAGACTAGTTATTTTTCGTTCTGGTTCTTTTTGGGTGTAGAAATTTTGGATCTAATTAAGTACTTATAATTTCTTATAGCCAAACTTTTTTTTATACTATTTCACCTTAATATTATATGTTTATTCATATTATTAGTGACATGTGTTGCCACATCTAATATCATTGCTTTTTATTTTTCCATTTTTTTAATCCATTGGAATAAAATTTACTAATTGGATTGGTAAAAAGCTATTAGAAATAAGAACATAGTTTAAAAGAAATAATAAAATTTTCATCAGATCATTATAGAAAATACGAATAGTTGATCGATTGTATTTTATTTTTACTCTATTGTTTAGAACTTTATATTTAGGTAAAAGTTTATTCAAGTTCAAGAAAATAAAAAAAAAACTTAAAAGGAATTTTTTCCAACATAATGTAAATGTTGAAAATCAAGAAAACAAGTGTATTATATATACCAGTCCACGGTGGAAGCATTGTAACCTAGTGGTTAAGGTTTAAAGGCTTCTACATTATGTTTGGGGTTCGAAACTCAGACTATGTAATCAAGAGGATTTCAATTCCTGGAGAATGTGAATGCGAATTATGCAAAAGATTTGAGAAAAAGCTTACAAGAGATCTTCAGCATGGTGTAAGACGTTCCGTCAGGAATGAATATTATAGGGCAGCTTAGGGTGATGTAGTCAGATGTTAATTAGCATACGACATGTAGAATTGTCGACTGTAATATCGACTATATAATATGTTTCATAATTTATAATGCATAATTATCAAGTGTTAAAAAAAAAAAAATGAGTCCACAATTTGGTTAGCTTGCTGATAGTAATAACAAAAAAAAGTGTAATACTGTATTTCTTTTGAAACTCAGATTTTCTTTTACCTAATATTTTTTATGAGCATCAATTTTTTAAAGAATTACAATTATCGTTTCCAACAACGAACTTATCATCATCATCCAGTGTCTATGGTTCTCCTGCTCCACCCATTGTCTCCTCCTCATGTTCCACCTGCAACCGGAGCTCCGTCAATCTCCGCCGCTGGTAACCATCACCGACATATTCTCTCCTTGTCTGAAACATGCACAAGCATGTCCCAGCTCAAGCAGCTCCACGCCTACACTCTCCGTACAACTTTCCCTGACGAAAACGCCACTCTGTTTCTCTACGGCAGAATCCTCCAGCTCTCTTCTTCCTTCTCCGACGTCAATTACTCATTCCGTGTTTTCGATTCGATACAGCAAGAAAACCATAGCTCCTTCATGTGGAACACACTAATCAGAGCATGTGCACATGACGTTTCCAGGAAAGAAGAAGCCATTCTGCTTTACCGGAAAATGTTAGAGAGAGGAAACCCGGCGCCGGATAAGCACACGTTCCCGTTTGTCTTGAAAGCTTGCGCTTATATATTCGGGTTATCAGAAGGGAGACAGGTTCATTGTCAGGTTGTAAAATATGGGCTTAGTGGAGATGTGTATGTGAACAACGGTTTGATTCATTTGTATGGTTCTTGTGGATGTTTAGATTTAGCGCAGAAAGTTTTTAATTATATGCCTGAGAGAAGTCTTGTTTCTTGGAACTCGATGATTGATGCTCTGGTTCGAGTTGGAGAGTATGATTCTGCGTTCGAGCTGTTCCGACAGATGCAGAGATCGTTCGAACCAGATGGTTATACAATGCAAAGTGTTGTGAGTGCGTGTGCTGGTCTCGGATCTTTGTCGCTTGGTACTTGGGCACATGCGTTTTTGGTTCGAAGATGTGAGTTTGATGTTGCAATGGATGTTCTGATCAAAAACTCGTTGATCGAAATGTATTGCAAATGCGGGTCGTTGGGAATGGCTGAGCAAGTGTTCCAAGGGATGCAAAAACGTGACTTAGCTTCATGGAACGCAATGATTCTAGGGTTTGCTACACATGGAAGAGCTTATGAGGCTCTGGATTGCTTCGACCGTATGGTGAGAAAAGACGAGAATGTTAAACCGAACTCAGTCACGTTTGTTGCAATCCTCATCGCTTGCAACCACCGAGGCATGGTTAAAAAAGGGCGTCAGTATTTTGAAATGATGGTCACAGATTATGGCGTTGAACCTGCACTGGAGCATTACGGTTGTATCATTGACCTTGTTGCCCGTGCAGGCTACATTACTGAAGCTATTGAGATGGTGACAGGTATGCCGATGAAACCGGATGCAGTGATCTGGAGAAGTCTCCTTGATGCTTGTTGCAAAAAGGGTGCTAGTGTGGAGCTAAGTGAAGAAATTGCTAGAAATGTGATTGAAACAAGGGAAGATAACCAAAGTTCAAGTGGCGCATATGTCTTGCTGTCTAGGGTGTATGCATCGGCTAGTCGGTGGAACGATGTTGGGATTGTGAGAAAGCTAATGACTGAACATGGAATTAGAAAAGAACCAGGATGCAGTTCCATTGAGATAAATGGTATCTCCCATGAGTTTTTCGCAGGAGACACGTCGCATCCTCAGACGAAACAGATATACCAACAGTTGAAAGTGATTGATGACAAGCTGAGATCCATTGGTTATTTACCTGATAGCTCTCAAGCACCGTTAGTAGATGCAACCAACGATGGAAGCAAAGAGTATTCCCTCAGGCTGCACAGTGAGAGGCTCGCCATTGCTTTTGGTCTGATAAGCTTACCACCTCAAACTCCAATCCGTGTATTCAAGAATCTACGCGTCTGTGGTGATTGCCACGAGGTTACTAAACTAATCTCAAAGGTTTTCAACACTGAGATTATTGTGAGAGATCGTGTTCGGTTCCATCACTTCAAAGACGGATCCTGCTCTTGTCTAGACTACTGGTAGCAAAAAAAAACATTAGTCACCGTTGAAAAGATTGGACATGCACTAACCGCTACAACCAAGTTTTGTATACTTCACAAGTTTAATAATCAAGAAGCATATGATCACACTACCTCAAATCAATTCTTATAGCTAGACTAACATAACTACAAATCATTTACAGCCATGGCCTTAACTTCCACGGCTCAGCTTTTAACACATACATCTCTCTTCTGCTACTGTTACATCAAAGAAAACAGAGAACAACATTAGTATCAATGTCAATGTGACAATTTTTTACTTCAATTTCGGACATAACAATCTTCACTTTTTTATGAGAATGGTACTAAGACGGCATTGTTCTGCCGAAGTTGAAGACTCAACGGAAAAAGCTTCCCGTTCATAGGAGTACGAGTACAAAAATGAAGAAATACTATACTATTCTTATCAGATAGTATAGTCCAAGTCTAGTCGTTGGAGATGCGTTAATTATACATGCTATGGAAATCTAAATCATTCTGCATGTTAAGCTTTTATTGTATTTTTTCTGCATGTTTAGTATTTGTTTTAGAGGTTCCTCTTGTGTATTGTATAAATATGTAATCAGTTTTGAATAATAAATTAAGGAGAATTATTCTTCTCTCTTCTATTCTTGTCTCTTGTTCTTCTCTATCTTCCAAGTTTATTCTCTTATTATGTTCAAAATTTCACATGATATCAGAGCTTTGTTTGTTTCCAAACTCTGTTTCTTCCGCAAAACTCTGTTTCTAATTCTTTAATTCTCTTTCTCTGAAAAATTTTGTTTCTAAAATTCTCTATAATGGAAAGTAATAAGGTTTTGTCGATTCCGGTTACTATCAAAGGAGTCAATTATCAGCTGTGGTCTAGGATGATCAAAACATCAATTCTGAAGTCATGTCATGATGTGTGAAGCTCCGCAGCATACTGTTCAACAAGGCGATCAACAAATTGTTGTTGTTGATGAAAACAAATGGATTCAAGAGGATCTGATGGTTCTTTCCATCATCCAAAATTCTCGTAATCATCTATTTTAGAGGTTTACTCCTACTGTGAAACTACCAAAGATCTATGTGATACTCTTCAGGAGGGCACTAACGAATATTTGTGCCCTAACCTGTGGTGAGATTTCTCCATATATATGATCTTTATGTTTCTTTAGATAGATTTTCATATAAAATTAGTTCTTTTGTTCTCATGTACATATATAAGTGTTTACAAAATATCTAAATCATAACAACTGATTAGTATTTACTTTTCAGCTTCTGTAAGTTTTAAATAGTTTTATAATGTAGAAAAAAACACAAGAGAGATTTTTTTTCTCATCAGCATAAACATATACTATTAAGACTGCAAACCAAACTAGTAACCTGCATCAATATGAACAACAAATGACGATTGTTTCCTTGCACCATGTGCAAGACTGTCCACCCCTTTATTCTGCGTTCGGGGGTATTCGAATGAGCTCTGAATGGTTGAACTTCATTATAGGACCTTGATATCTTCCAAATAATTTGCAAAGGAAGATCATTGTTCTGGTTCTGAACTTATCTTCACCAATTGAGAACAATTTGTTATCAATGATGAACGCTTTGATTTCCAAATGAAGGGGTGAAAGACTGACTTTCGTATTTTGTGCCCCCATCGGTTGATTAATGCCTTCTAGCGTACTATACCAGCCTTGTTCCAGGAAATCCTGATCTTTCCATGTCCCACCGTAAAACACAATCTTCCCGGTATAGAAGGGAAACTTGTCACTTCCAGCTCCCTAGAATTGTTGACCCTTTTTGTTAGGGAGTCATGTGCCTCAGACCAAAGTAATTGTTCAGTTTCTGCCAATGTAAGAGTATCTTGAGGATCAATATCCATATTGCTGAAAACTTGTTATTTCTTCAATTCCACATGTACTATAAAATTTATGCAAATTGATAATCATCCATGTTTGGGAAACCCTTCAGAATATATAATCCATATTTGCAAATAGTGATTGAGGATTAAAAGTATCCCAATTTGATGAAATCTGTGAGAGAGTCCATACTTGGACTCTCGGAGGATATTCAAAATACACATGGTTTATATATTCCTCGGTTACTCTACATCTTTCGCCTTTTATATCACTTTGAATCCCTCTTGCTTTATACATCTTGACACTAATTTTCATAAAAGGTGGTTTATTTTAGGTGAACATCGTATTTTTCAACAATAAGTCTTTAAAGAAGAGATAGTGGGTCCCATACATTGGTAGTGTTTTTTTTCTCAATCGGGATATGCTCGTTCCCATTGATAACCAGAATATTTTTCCACTGTTGGTGAAATGCCATCTTGTTATATCGTGTCCGACTCAATGGTATACTTTCTATAATCTTTGCATCATGTAGATCCACCAAAGAATGAATTACCTAGGAATTCCATGTTCGAGATGTTGTATAGATGAGGGCGTCCACTGTAAGATCAGGGTGACAGTTGTGTTGATTACTGTTTGCTGGTCTCAAGCGAGTGGTTGCGAACCAAGGATCATTCCATACTGAAATAGATGATAATGATCTGATGTAAGTAAGCCTAAGCTGTCAATGGTTCACAAATCTCTTGAATCAAAGTGATGGTCAATCCAACAAGAGGGGTGGTTCTTCTAATCGATCTAATTGACTATAAAACCGGCCGGATGGAAGTGATGATGATGATCTCGAACAGAACAGGGTGTTGACTGATTCCACAATCAACCACGAAGAAGAACAGCCTGATTCCACAAGAAGCCTCAATCGCCAATCAAATAGTCTAGTGATTCCACACAAAACTGAATGACCAAATTCACACAAAGTCACAAGACTTTGGAGAAAAGAAACTTAAAGGTTTATTAGGTTTTACGTAAAAATTTTGTGTCTTACATTGAGGGAACTAATGAACTTATATAATTATGAGTAAAAATAATTAGAAAGCTACAAAAATGGAAACATAATAAAAAATATCAAAAATTATGCGTTTGTCTTAAATGAGGAGATTTCGGCCAAAATGGAAAACGTGCTGAATAGCTTGTATCTGGATAACTTTGGGAAGATTCTAGGAGCCTTTGGGAGCTTCTGTTTGATGGAGAAAATCGCCAAATGATTTGCAAGACTGAAGGAATAGAGCTATTGGGATTCAAAGCAAATCGGCTCCAAAAATGGCAAGTTAAGATGGTGAAGAATCTAACTAGTCCAGTGAGGTTTAGTGCATGGTAACAACTCTCCAAGTTGTCTTAGATGTAAGGAATGATCCCCAAGTTTTCACACGTGAGTTTGAGTTACACACTCTTTAAGCAAAGAATTACTTGCCTTAACAGAACCAGTTTGGATGCAGTGTAGGCATCCTGACTTGTAAATGGTATATCTCCTAAACCATTAATCCCATTGGTATGAAACCAATTCACCGCGTGCTCTGGTGGAGTTGAGAATCTACAGAAAGTTTTTTCACGGTTAAAATTCTCATGGTTGCAAAGATATACTCCTTTGAATGCACCTATGTCACTGCTGGCTTCGATGTAGCTTGTATGGTTGATCTCATGAGTTGGTTGTACAGCTACTGACTCAAGGTCCTCATCATGATCCCACCCTTTTGATAAGTCATTTTCTAACCAGGGATCTAGGAGAGACAATACTGCACCATTCATATGATGGTGAGTATGATCTAATCGATTATATGGATGATGCATTTCTAAAATAACGTCATTTGAAAACTTTTGAGAGAATAATGTTTTAGGCTTCTCAATCAAATACCAAAATTGTTTTTCCAGCATAGCCATATTGAAATCTCTAAGATCTTTAAATCGTATCCCCTCCTTTATTCTTATGGTGACATAACTTGTCTCATGATTTTCAATGCATGCCTTTTATATTCTCCTTTGTACTCACCTCACTCGTCAATTCCTTCGCTGCAGCTTTTGGTAGTCTAGAACAAGACAGTACATGAATCTCTCGATAAGTATTCTAATTCAAATATTATGTGCATATTATAAAAAAGATCAAAAACATGAATCTCTAAATAGAAGAATATTGATTATTTTTCATAACAACAAAAATATCTTCTATAGGTAAGTAACATGTAATAATAAGTCGAGTAACACAAAAAAAAATCACTTGTTATTTTCTTGTACTTGCAAATATCTAAATTTTGCTACTTGATATCCAACTTGATAAGATGAGTACTTTAAATATCAAAACAGAAACAAGGCGAGTAGCGAGTATAAGCCAGCTAACAAGTATTTGTGCTCATGTACATGTATAAATGTTTACAAAATATCTAAATCATAACAACTGATTAGTATTTACCTTTCAATTTCTATAAGTTTTAACAAAATTTTATAACGTAAAAAAATAAACAAGAGAGTTTTTAAAACATTTATGTTATGTTACTTATAAACCAAATGACTTTAATGTTTGAGAGTATTAGATTATAATTATTCTTTTCAATTAGACCATAAATGTTTTCTTATTCGAATATGCTAAAACCAAATTAAATTTATTAATTTCATTTAGTTATCTTAAACGTCTTGGATTTATAATATATTTTCATCAAATTATGTATAATTTGATATATGTAATTTGAGAAAATAAATAGAATATATTTTTTGTTAGGATTGCATAAGTGAACATAACTGATAATTTTTTGAAAGGTCGTGATAATTTAGAAAAAATAATCCATGATAATTTATTAATATATTATTATTATCACTTGTTCATTAGTTTGGAGTCGTTTGTAATTTATATGTATAAATTAAATAAAAGAGTATTTTAAATAATATGTTTGGGACTGAATTTGAACTATAACTTTAATATAAAATTTGGATTGGTTAAGTTACTCTTTATTGGATATATATGTTGAATTGCATCTTCATCTGAAATGAACCACAACTACTTTTTATTCAAATTATTATGCTAAAAATGATTAAATATTTATTTCATTTTTTTTTTTTGACAATGAAAGGCTGATCTATTTCTCAAGCTTGAGGTGGTCTGGGAATCCATACCGGAATAGAACAACCAACATACATGAGATCCCGATAAAAGGACCGGGCAGTCTTAGCTAAGCGATCGGACACAACATTCAGAGATCGAGGTACATAAGATATCTTAA